CAGAGGCCATTATCTGCTCACCGCCTGTCCGCTTGACCACTAGAAATGTAACCCCACACATCCTAATTCATCCATCTAGAACAAAAGGAAGATAATGAGAGAGCTGGTCTGAACCATTAAGGTTATGTGAATATTAGAGCGGAGCACTGGGGGCAACTTTGTGCCCACGCCTCAACGACGTGTGGGTCGTTTTGTCCTGCCCTCAGGAGGAAACTTCCACTGTTACCTTGGCACATAACTGTTGTAATAGCCAGTTTAGTGTTATGAGTGAGGTGCTAAATGAGTGTAGTTAAATGGGATTTTTCCACTGTTATGCCAAAGTGAGTTAACCTGTGCAGTTAGAAGAGTGGGAATGTATGGGCATCTGTCAGTAGGGGAGAACTGGGAACACAGAGGCATTGCTACAATGATGTTGGACAGAATTCAGGTTGTAAACAAGCCACTTTATTTGGCATTACAAGTGGGCAATATGTTGGTAGAAAACTGTGTGCATACAACTACAGTGAGAAAAGAGGGCCAAAGTTCAATTTAATTCAATTCAATTCAGTTTTATTTATATAGCGGCAAATCATCACAGAATCTTAGGGTACTTTCATGTACAGCAGGTGTAGACCGTACTTTTTATAATTTACCCTCAGAAGGGAACTTACAAACAGGAAGTTTGTCTGTAAAATGTGAGAGATGTTTGTACAGTTTGTGTTCTAATTTTACTGTTCATCTTCTTTCCTCATTCAAATAAATTAAGCTAACCTGCAGGCTTGTTTGAAACCTGTCTGATCATATGGCTTCTCACACATCCTGCTTCATTCAACTTTGTTTTTGCATTGTTGCTAATGTCAAATGTCAACAATTAACTTGGTATTACTGATGGGAACAATGGCCCAAAACTGTGAAATAAGACCTAGGTTGTATGAAACTGAAACTTCAAAATTACATAGTCTAGCTTTACGTAAGCAGAAAGATGCTTAAATTGAAAAATGTAGAGGTGTCAGCATCTAACAGATGTCAGGGACCTGTTGGTTGATGCTCCCCTCGTGTTTGCAAAAAACATACCCGACTTGTACTTTGTGCTAACAACATGCTCCATATAACTCCAGTCCCTTTTAAGGGGATAATCTGTAAGAAAAAAACTTCTTTTGTGGCTGCACTCCTGAGTGCCAGATAAGACTCCCGAGTTGATTTGAATTGGACATGACGGCTTCTCAGAACGGTAGCCAATTCACTTACCCCAATGAAAACCCACCATTCAAATCAAATGAGTCAAACGAGGCTTTGCACAAAAGCACCAATCCAACCGCCTACACTATTCTTAAAGTTAAAAGCACTCTCATTCCCACAACTCTCTCTCTTCCCATGCTGTCTCCTGCTTTTCCTCCTTCCTATCTTTCCCTCTCTCTTCCTCCATCAGCCCTGACAACTCCATAATCTCAGCCAGAGTGACCTGTTCAGACCCTCTGTACTGGCTGAATTTATTGGAGGCAGAAAGAGAATGAGAACCTGTCACTCTGCTTCCCCTGACCTCCTAACACCCTCTCCCTCTTTCACACAGATACACACCATGGCAGACATGCACGTATACCCTCCTCCATTCTGTTACCTACACCTACAGTACCTGTATGAACATACACATGAAAATATCCTTCAATGTTGATGAATCTCAAACCACAGCCTTTCATCTCGCTATAACACTACTTCCTTTGAATGTTTAGACCTCTGCCCTTCTACACACTGTCTATTGACAAAAGTAACTGTGCTGTGTGTCCGAGCTTTCAACGAGGTTGTTGCAATAAAAACCTATAGATGACATCCAGCTGTTTGTTACACACTCGACTGTCACTGCTTGCAACACGCAATGCAACAAAAACAGGTCCTCCAATCAAAAGAATGTCTTTAACCTTTGCAAGTGTGACTTACACTTTCCACCTTTTTCACAGCGTTTACCATATTTCAGCAGTTACTGTATTTTTGCCCAAGGTAATCAAAAGAAAGATCTGAGGCCTTCCCAGAAAAAAACAAACTATGTGCCTACATCATGTCTTAGGGGATATTACATGGCTCGCATTGGAATGTAAATTATTTAGACTTTACAGCAGGATGAGTGAATGCAGTTCATTGTAAATGATCCTTACTGAAGTGGTGATCATGTCGGAGACTCTAAGGCAGGGGTCGGCAAATAAGTCTGGCATCAGGCCAATTTTTTTCAAGCCGTTACATGACTGGCCAGAACATCGTCAAGCTTGTGTGCACGTTTTGTTCAGTCGGTGGTGTGTGTGATTCCCGTTGGAAGGTTTGAATGATCGATCTTGGTGTTGGATTGGATTGGATAGGAGTCTTGGTGTTGTATTGGAAAGTGCATTTAAATTTGATAAACAGATATCCGCCACTGTTAGATCCTGCCTTTTCCAGTTTAGAACTATAGCCAAGGTAAAGACCTATCTCCCTCCTAAAGATATAGAGAGGGTGATTTATAACTTTATAACTTCCCGCCTTGACTATTGTAACTCCTTATATGTGGGCTTCGACAAGTCATCTATTCTATTCGCCTGCAGTTAGTCCAAAATGCTGCTGCCCGCCTCCTGACAGGAAAGAAGAAGAGGGACCACATCACACCTGTGTTGCGCTCCCTCCACTGGCTTCCTGTTCATTACAGGATTGATTTTAAAATCTTACTTTTAACTTTTAAATGCCTTAATGGATTGGCTCCATTGTACTTATCGGAGCTTCGTCACGTTCATACTGCAGCTAGAGTGCTGAGATCTGCCAATCTCCTCCTCCTGGATGTACCCAGAAGCAGACTTAAAACCAGAGGCGATCGAGCCTTTAGTGTAGCTGCCCCTAACATTCTTTTGCTGGGTGACAGACCCACACATTAAGGAATTTGAATGGTATTTTAATACGTGTAAGTTATGTTTGCTTGTATAATCATGAAGGATATAAAGTCATATATTGGAGTGCATTTATCTTTTTCTCACATCATCATTTCTTTTACATTTGAATATTTGTGCACTGATTACATTTTAAATCTCAATGAAGAGGTACTGCTTTGTCCAAACTAAATAGAGGTCAAAGAATAGAAAATGCAGCAGGTTGATAAAAAAGCTGTTTCCCCTTTGTTAAACAAATTTTTCAAAGACAACTGTGTTATACGCTTCTGTATATTATTTACCTTCTAACAGTACTTTGTAAATATACTATACACTGTACAAATTCCAGAGCACACAAGTTAGACTCCAAAGAGCTGTGTTCTTTGAAAAGGAAATTTAATGGTTACATAAAAAGTTGACATAAAAATTGCCTTACTATTAGCACCAATTATATTGGTCTGTTTAAATGCAGGCAATGGAAAGAATGGATACACAGCATTTGACTCATTGTTGCAGATGTGATGTGATAAGAGAGAAGTCTCTGTTCTGGTGGTGAGCTAGTACTTATTATCAGCAATACTATCATTAGCATCATCATTTTTTTTTTTTTTTTTTACTTTTTTTTTTGCCAGTGACTGCCTGCTGTTGTTGCCAGTGATAATTATAGTGCTTCTGATGGCCTTAACCCTCCATAAACCATCATTACAGCACTCACACTACTTTCTGTCCTGGACTTAATCTACTCCTGCATTCTGTTCACCCATTCACTCACTCAGTCACTCACTCGCTCTTCTTACATTCCTCTCATTCTCTAAATGTTTCATAGCTCATTCCCTCTTTGAACATTATTGCCTCCCTCTCCAGATGCTTCTCCATTGTACTCTCTGTTCCTCCTGTCCTCTCTCTGTCCTGTATATATTTTATTTCCTCTCTACCAGTGGTGAGCAGTCACCAGGCTTGTTATTAGTGCTAGGTTCATGCCCGCACTGTAATCAGACCCCTGGAATTAGCAGTGGGCCCCCACTAGCAGGCAGGCACGACGCTGACAAAACACTATAGTTATTGAGGCTGCTGCAATGTTGCTGCTTTGGCAGGAATCCGCTGCTCCCCTCAGAGCTCTGGATCTTCATAGGCTTTGTTAAAGAGAAGCAATGAGAGGTACAGCAGGAGTATAGGCACTCACCAAGGGCTAAGGGATAAAATACACACTGGATGGCTACCGATGGGAGCAGTGAGTGGCACACTTTTTGTTTGTGAGGGTGCAGGTGGCGCTTAAGCACTGGGAGCGAGGCCATTTTGAAAAGACAATAGATTGGACATAATGGGGACGTGTTTTATTATTGGGGGATAAAGATAGGAAGGCAAAGCCTGTTGTATCAGGACAGGGTGTAATAGAAATCCATTTACTTGACAATAACAAGCAATTTAATGTCACCCAGAGACTTGCAGCTTTGTGTATGGCTGACTCTCACAGCGCGTTAATGGAGAGTGTTGGTCTCGGGTCAGATTACTTTCTGAAATACTGTAGATTCAGTGGACTTTCTGGGATTCATCTTCTTTTGAAGTGTAGTGATCTCATAAATACAGCACAGGCGATGGACATGTCAAATCTGCTTAACCTCTGTTGTCTTCAAATGTGAAAATGCACGAACTTAGTTCCTTTTAACTACGAGCAAACAAAGTATTCTAATGTCCAACTTTAAATTCAGTCCTTTACTTTCCATCTTAACCAGTGATAAAATCTCATACAATAATCAAAAAATTGTAGGATTTTTCCATGGGCCCGGGTTTTTCCGCTTTAGCCACGCCACGCTAAGCCATGATGACAAGCGTTTCCACTACAGCCTCACAGCAGGGGATAGCTGCCCCGGGCTGCGCTGTTGTGGCTGTAACGGTTTCCTCAGGTAAACAACTCTACCTTGCTGTGCTGTGCAGTGAAAAACACTAGCACTGTGCTGTTGCAACTCAACTGGCAACACAACATTGCTCGGGGTGACTACCTCCCTTACTATGGAAAATTGTTTAAAACAAGAAGAGTTTTCAGACTCAAAATGAGATTGGGTTGTTAAAATGAATATCTTTTGCCAGTGTCTCTAAGAGTTGTTGGTTGGTAAGTTGGCAGGAAATGTTACTTACAGCAGGGTCCCTTGCGCAGCACCTTAATGCGTCGCTGTGTGTTGCACTGGGCTTTCTCAAGCTCACACTCATTGGAGTAGGTGGAGGAATCCGAGCCACAAACAGGCGCCACCAAGGATGGACAATCCACTCTCTTGCAAAAACACTCAGCTTTGGCCGGGTCAGTCGGGTCACGTTCACATACAGCGCCAAAGCCACACAACATTCCTCTGCAGCCTGCCAGAAAGGAAGAGAAAAAGGAGGAGGTGTTAGGATTAATAAGAACATCTGATCAGAATATTGCTTTCTCTTACAATTTCACGTTCAGTTACAGTAGCTCAAAGCTGTCTTACCACAAACCTGCACAATGCATAGTTCAATTAAACAAGTGTGATCCTGCTGTTCTATTTATCATACATGAACTGATGATGCGCGCACAGAATCAAACCAACTTCTTAGAGAGTTTTTCATAGGAGAATAGAAATAAAGTTTATGTTTTAACAGTCGACAGGCATGTCTGAACAGATTCATCTCAATATGCGTTAGCCATTGGGGTCTTTGTGTGGAACTCTACACAGTTCAGCAACACAAAAGCGTCAGGGATTAAATGTGATCCTGGTGTAAAGCAAACAGATGCTCTCAATTCATTCAGGGAGAATCTGTCCACCCATGCAGAGAAAGCACAGTGTGTTGTTGGGAGTGCTGAGTCTATGGAAGAATCTATTACAGAATTTTGAAAAGCTTCAATGTTAATAAAAAGTCAGCAACAACATTAAAATCAATCTACAGGCAGCAGGTTGATACATGGTCTTGTGGACAACCTCTGAAGAGGCTGCAGTCTTTGAAACATCAATGATCTATCTACAACATGGAGGGACGGCAACACAAACCAAGGTTAGCCAAACATTTCAAGACTTTGATCCTAAACTTCCCACTGACTCTCAGCTTTGATCAAGTGTGAAACAGCAAACTGTAAACTTTGTCAGCAGTGCAAAGCAAACAGAGAGAACCTGTGTGCATATGTGCTAGTGTTGTGTTTACACAACATCAACTTAGTGAGTAATTGACCTGTATTGTGGCAGCTACAGCTGCTGTGGCTCTGCGCCCACTTTGAGGGCTGTTTGGCAGCCAGCTGGCATGACGTCCTTGCCTCAGCGCTGGGGGGCGTTAAAAGAGATGCCAACCTCTCACAGGTAGCCAACCTGACTGTAAATCAATGGACGAAAGCACATAAAAATCCACCTTAAAAAAAAGGCCTCTTGGTTGGAGGGGCGAACAACCAGTGTCACTGCCGGGTATATACATGTCACACACTCACACACACGTGCACACACTCAGCTATTTCTTATCACTGGCTCCCAGGCCAGGACTAAACGCAAGGCGGCGTGTCCACTTGGACTCGCTGGCAGGTGGCTTTTGCAGCACTGGACAGACAGACGGACAGTCTGATAGACATGCACACACATACACACAAACTCTTTGAGTGCAGCATAGACAACTGGTCCAGCATCTGCCCAAGGAATCTCATTCTGTCTTTCCCCCTCACACCGAAGCACAGTGTGTGAATGTGTGTGTATGGAGTGACAGGCGAGGAGGCTGTTTTTGACTTGCCCACTGTTCCCTGTAGGAGACCGCCTGACAGCTACCTGAGCTCACTCTCTTTTGTACCAGGGGAAAAAGAAGCGAGTGTGTGTATGTGCAAAGCTATCCATGGATGCATCTGTATTCCTGACAGTGTGTGTGTGTCTGAGAAGTGTAGGCATTAGGTGTCTCACACACACAGGCATGCACACAAACACACACACACACACACACACACAAGCAGCCAGGTGCTAGGTGCTAGCATGAAGGCCTTGTCATGACTGGCCCACTGCTCTGCCATCACTTCACACCATTCGTATGTGTGTGTTTGTACATGTGAATGTCAGCGGGTGGCTTGGAGGCAAAGTCATGCGAGCAGAGTGACAAGAGGTGAAATTCAATAGAACTGTGTCAGATTTGTACAAGAGAGAGGGAGGGTGTCTGGTAGTATGACCAGAGACTGAGACTGATGTTGCTGGTGACCAAACAATTATCTCTGTGTTTTAGATGTATCAGCAGTTTCTTAACACCAATATAATTCAGTCATGAAGCAATTCCTATTCATAGTGTTATTAAAATAACTCACACTATAAATACAATGAAAACACCACCTGGTGAGAAACACCAGCAGAAGTTTGTAACCAGATCTATTCTGTGATGTTTTCCTATAAGAAAATCTTACTCTAGCCTCGAGCTTAGCTGACTGACAAAAGACTGACACCGGAGCTGAGGGTTCTGTCAAAGTGAGACTTCAGGTGCAGGCTCTGGACAGAGTGTACAAACTGCATACTTATGTACTGGGAGTTCTCTGCTGTGAGAAATCCTCCAGGTACTTGAAAAAAGAAATATTTGATACTTCTGATTGCTTCAGAACAGATAGTCGTAAATATGAATGCCGTTATCTGCATGACTGAAAACAAAAGTACACCTCAGACAAAAACTTCGTCAACAATATATTTGCAGAGTACTGGCCCTGACCGTGTTTGATTGACTGGTGATCTCTGAAGCGTATACACAATAATTAAAACAACAAGGATCCTGTGGAATTACTTCACTAAGACAAAAAATGTGCTAAATCTAATCTTCAGCCACTAGTAGGAACACACACAACTGTGGTGTTGTGTGTCAAGCATTTACACACGTGGTCACCTATTTACACGTTACCCCCATACACCTACTACAAGTACCTAGCAGAGCTACAGCAGGAGATGTTACACACAGGTCCTTACTTTGTCCACTCTAGGTGATATTGGGATGAGTAAAGTAACTGGTTCTTATTATTATTGGTTAGTATTATTGGTTCTTCTTATTATAAACACATCTGGCTACAATGCAGTACAGTTCATCAACACCACACCTTCCAAAATGACCACGAAGTTGAATCAACCTCTCTCTAAAACTGTTTGCACATTAGTTTCGCTAGTTGTACCCAATAAAATGGCACTACTGGTTCAAGTTTAAATCTATGTAATTTTGAGAAACGTTCTGAGTTTTATAACCATTTCTTCTGTAATAAATGCGCACAGCCAAGTTTTTCTATGTCCCAGGGTGTCACATGTCCTACAAGTGTTGGCAAAGCACCCGGGGCTTGATTTACCCCAGTTGGTTGATGGGGATTAGAAGTCTTAGAGGCTCCTACAATTGAACATTTACAGTGAACCAATAAACACTGGGGATTATATGTGACGATTAGCATTTCTTAGGCTATATAGATTCCCAAAGTGCCAATTGTCCCTTACATGATTACAATTTAAAGAAAGGCTCCAGCATTGAGACAGTAAGTTTAAGTTTTTTTTCTCACAGCTGTCTAAACTTTGAAAGGTACTCATATGTATTTTTATGTACTTATATTAAGAGTATTCAAGTCACTTTGCTCTGAAGTAGGTACATTACCATCAGATAAGTTTATCCATAATCATAAGTGATATAAAAACAAAAAAACTGTTCAGCATGGCTATACATAAGACATCAAAATTAAAGCTTTACACTCTATCGCTAGAACTCCATACAGATGTTTCCAGATTACAATGCTGTTCCACTCAGTCTGGGACTAATAGGCATGACCTTTGAAGATTCTTTCCTCTTTTTCTCTCACTTGATAACAAAAGTATTGGGGATTTTCAATGTGGATTGTGTGTGTGTGTGTGTGTGTGTGTGTGTGTGTGTGTGTGTGTGTGTATGCGTGTGTGTGTGTGTAAGCAACAAAGTCTGCTCTGATAGTGTGTCCAAACAAGAAAGAAGCTTCTAGCTGAGCTGAGGCAGATGACAGGGGACATTATAAAAAACAAATGCCTTTCCCAATATGGAGTGCTTGGCTGCACTGCCCTGTTTTTATACTTGCTCACTACTGACAGCAGCTGTGCAATATCTCAAAAGGATGAAAGTTAATCTTATATTTTGTTTTAATACTGTAAAACTGTCGAAATACAACAACAGAAACTATTGCAACCACTTACCCCAGGTCCGTTATTCAGACTTGTTAGAGACACCTTTGCAGGTACTGTACTGTTTAAAACAGTTCTTGCAAAGGCCTTTTGTGTACAGAACTGAGCGAGCACACTTAAACTTAATTTCCAGCATGAATGTAAGCTTTCTTTGCAATTCTTTGTGCAGAGATTTCTACTTTCTGAGTGCAATAAGTGTGTCTAAATGTGTGGGTGAACGCTCGCCAATCCATATACGTGTGTAAGGTAATCATCGTCCCTGCAGCGTAACAAGCTTCACTGCCATGCTAGTTTTTTTTCTATTGGAGACTGAGGAAGAAAATCACATTGGGGAGAAAAGACAGCATGTCCAGTTTGCGTTTGTCGAGGCAAACGTCTTGTCCAGGTAACACTTCATCCCGTGTTTGGACGGCTCATCCATTAAATATGTCACGGTGTCTGAGCTTAAAGGATGCTCTCAATGCGTCGGTGGGTTCTGAAAGTAAAGGGATTGCACTGCCGTGATTAAAGCCACGGTGAAAAATTGTCATGGTTTACAAGTTGAAAGAAAGTGTAGTATAGTGGCAATTTTACACCGTTTCTACTGCCAGTTTTGATGCTGCTGGATGCTGGACTACGACTACGCTTTTCAGTTTATTTCTTCAGTGGATCAAAGCACATGCCATTGTGCAAATAAATACATTCTTTACTGGACCATGTAGAGTCAACACTGTCAGCACGGTGGAGCCCATTGCTTTCCAATTCAATGCCAGTTTTAAAATAGTATTTAATTGCATTCATGTTGGATAACCATACACATTTCCTCATATAATCTATCATCTGTGCAACATTTTGTGCTTGTTTCTTGCTTTTTAACATAGATTCAGACAGACACAGATTCAATAAATATGCCCCAAAACCAGTAGTTCCTATTTCTTCTGAGATTGTTTCTGCTCTCTGAAGAAAATGTCCCCATAGCCTCTGTTTGTGGTGAAATCTCAGTCTCAGTTTCATTGTTTTGCTGCCTTGTTGCACTTACCTCAAACAAAGTGAAAAGGGGAAAAATGGACTGTCGTGGCAAGCATGAATACATTCAGACCCAATAAGGCTTGACAGAATCGCCCAGACAAACTCAAAATGGCTACTTTAGGGGAACAATATTCTCTGCATGGGGGGATACCTGTCCGGTTTTTGAATTATTTCACAGCAGTCCGGTTTGCTTCAGCTGCAGAG